CTTAGTTTCTCATGCTTTTCTATATGGTTCTCCTTGCTCCCTCCATCTTGCTCCTATTCTAAGCCATGTTCCCCACTTTTCTATAATTCTATGTTTGCATATTGCTCTATACAAGTTCTGCTACAAGTTCTTTGGAAGTTGGTATCAGCATCACATCTCCATGACCTGGAATAGGCTATGCTACCTAATGAGTGTCCAGTAGAATCTGTTGCAAACACAAAAATTGAATGAGCAACATATGCTTGACAAGTCAGTATGAATCAATGATTCTTACATTCTCTTGGTTAATATTATTTGATGAAAGGCAGCTCAGGGTATTTTCTTCAAAGTATATATATATATTGTCAGGTTAGATGTGTTATAAATCAACAAAGTAAACATTTTTTACAAGAATTAAATATAGCATTTTATCAAAAGAGATATCATATGCTGTACATTATTTACATTTTCTAAACTTTTACGTATTACATTAATTTTAATCAAACCAATTATTGAAAAATAGTTGATAATGAATGGATAATATACTACCATATGGTAAAAACAAACAATATTTAATTTTTTCTCTATTAATATAAATCTGTTATTTTTAAATTTAGTATGCTAAATATAACATTGGATATTTACATATTATTTTATTAAGCATTAATTTGAATATATTTAAGATTTTCTAGAAAATGTAATGAAACTTAACTTCAATTTCTATACAGTGTTATAATAGAAATTATGCTTTTAGCCAAGAAGTAGCTCTCTAAAACTATGTTTTCACTATAGAGCCCAGAACTTGTTCAAATTTACTTGTACATTTTTAGTTTTTAGTCAGTATGTGTATATTACTTTATAATTCATTGCAATTCTCTATAAAAGTTTTATTCTACCCTTTTAATTTGCTAATATTCATTTTTAGATCATGAAGCTTCAGAAAACTAAATATATAAAGTAGTATCTTCTGATTGATGTACTGGTATGGATCCTTAAGCTTTTATTCATTCTAATATTTAGATATATGAACATGAATATATTATATATTTTCACAGGTATTTTAATCAGTTTTATGCACTTTTAACCCTTGTATTTTAATTCATTTAAAAGATTTTACAATAATCATTTAAATTTGGATTTATTTTAATATATGCTTCAAACCTATAGGCTAATATGAATAGTTACTCAGGGATTTCAAGAGAATTCAATATTTTTCCAATGGTAAAGTTTTTGTTTTTTAGTGTGCATTACATTACAACTTCTGTTGTCTGATCATGGCAACACATGTTCCCCATTACTTTGCGCAGAATCTGAAAAGTATTAAAAAATCACACTTTATTAGATCACTTAGATTGTATATAAGTCGTTTACAAATCAACATGTCTGTATTGAGCTGTGCCTCTTAAGAAGCCATGGATTAATATGCATCTTATTCTTAATACATTACATGACTTATCCTTTGGTGATGTCTAAAAGAAGCATTTGGAGATGAGTTATGCTTGTGAAAATATTCTAATGCAGTCTAAGTTCACAGCAGCAATAATCACCTTACGCCTGTCGAACTAAACTGCTCTGACATATAGCAAATACTTCAAGGAAAAGGTAAATTCTATGTCTTTAATCATTGCCCCCAAAAGATGCCATCCTACTAAACACTGGATTTTGTTTTCATTATGACTCAAAATGAGAAACATCATAACATTGTCTTTAAGTTCTATGATCACATAAATGTTTGCGTTTAATTTCAGTTTGGGTCACAGCAGATGGATTGTATTAAATTCATCAAATGCTTTGTGTGCCTTTGCTGCCCCCTTAAGACAAGTAAACATAAATAAAAAGCTAGGAAGAACCCAGCTTCCACAGAAACGAGTTCCTCTGTCTCTTACACATGTGCCCAGCCACACATGCACACACAGAGAACTGCTCAGATGAGAAATTAATTGATTAAATATTATTGGATAATTAAATCAGTGTTTTGCTTGATTCTGCTTCATAGTCAATGAAAATATTAGCTTTATTTAATAACCTCCCCAAAAAACATGTTGTTTCTAAAGGTGATTGATATACCAGTGTATTTTAAGTTTATAAAGACTGAAATTGAGTAGGATTTATCTTGAGGAAAATCACTGTGGAAAGATATCATTTTTTACATTTTTTATTTAATTATAAAAACAGTTAAAAATCTTAAATATAATATATAAATCATAGCCATTCAAATAAAAAGACATGTTCACAATTATTTTACATGCATTTTAGAGAGAAGAAATACCATATGGAAGATGATGCATGAAATAAAGAATTCCAGAGTAAAAATAAGTTTATGTTAACTATTTATAATTTTTGAAAGAGATTTACTGGCTATAATGTGATGTTTGCTATATATTTATTTTAATATAACAAATGTTAGAATAATTATGAACAATTTATCTTTAAACTAGGTTTTCTATGCAGAGTGTATTCAATTTTAATGAAAACAACAGATTGGTTTTATTTTAAAGAAAAGTTCTAATCTCTAAATAAACATTGAACACAGCATTATAGTTGAGACTCTTATAAGGTATAGTGGTATATGGTATTCTTGTCTTTATCAGGGCTATTACAATTTTGAAGAGATCTATAATTACTTATAAGACATATTGAAATGTTTCAAATTCTGCAGAACAGTAATATCAAACAATTTGTCTCATTTTCCTTTAGATTCAAGATTTTATTCTATTATTAATCAAAATGGGAATATTTGGTTGCTAACAATATTCCTTTTTTTTCTCTTTACATTTTATTTTGGTTGGTTTGTACGTAAAAAACAACACATTTGAAAAATATTTACTGGAAATTATATAGTGCATTATGTTAAGGTCTAAATACAGCGTTTTACAAATAAATGCTTTATTTTTACATTCTTTATTTTTAAGGATCTAAGCATAAAGACAAGTGTAACTTACGTCTGCTAAAATACTTCCTTCGTTATTTCTATGCTAATGGCTAAAATAATTATTTAATAAATGAAAAGAATGGCAGGGATTCATGTTTATTGCTTAAGCAGAAATGTCTTTAAAATAATTTTTTATTATTGCACATTGCTAATGAGTAGGTAAGAAGGCTGTGTGTGTGTGTGTGTGTGTGTGTGTGTGTGTGTGTGACTTGAGGAGTTAGTACGGATATTGAACAGGTCTGGAGAGACCAGTGTGGAAGTCCTCTCTGTGAAACACATCAGCCTGAAGGAAGACTCTTTCATTTATCAGAGGGATTGGCCCTGAAAGGTGGTACAAGGCCATGGCAAGCCTGATTCATACTGATGTTTGGAGTTGATGATGGAAGTAAAACCACCTTGAAATTGTATTTGTCCTTAGTTTTTTAACTTTAATGTTCAATCCCTGTGGTGAAACCACTATCTCCTTACTGCTGTCATTGCCTCTCTCTTATCACATACAGAAGATGAAAAACAGCTGTTGGAGCTGGGCATGCCCAATAGCCACAGGCAGGCTTTGACTGCAAGCAAAAAGCTGTATCAATTCCCTTTTACATCTGCATCAACTACTAGAGAGCAATCAGATGCGGCAGTGGGAAGCCTTGCCTCACTGTGAATGGACTGGCCAGTTCAAGCAGGATGGTTCCTACAGTGCCTTGCCAGGATATTCAGGGCAGCCAGCGGGCCTTTTAGTTCATCCAAGAAGTTGATATCCCTTAAAATGAGCTGCCATTTCCTTCAATGGATGCTTTGCTTTCTACACACAGAACTTTAATGATTCAATTGTAAAAGAAATGTTATTTTGTACAAAAATTCATACTTTGATCCACAATTATTCATGCGGATATTATAATATTTATTCAGGACTTCTCAATGTGAGGAATATTCTAAAATGTATTTTCTCATTTATCATTATACTAATCCCTTTTTATGTCATAAAAGGTTGTTAATATTTTAATAATGTTAATTATGAAAAAAGAGCACAGAAATTTCTTACAATGGAAATACTGTATAAAATATAATTTATAACCTGAATAAATATTCTCTTTGGTGGAAACAACAATGCTTGGCTTTAACTATATTGGTCAGATTATGAAATGTGGTAAATTGCTGTGCATAGTGGCTACTTACCAGTAATCTCAGTAATCTGTGAGCTTAAAGTAGAAGGATCTCAAGTTTAAGTCCATCTTGCCCAACTTAGTGATTTAGGAATATCTGTATCAAAACTAATAATAATAATAAATATTCATAATGTAAGCTTCATGGAATGACCTTGGATTCAATCCACAGTAATGAAAAAAAAAAAACAAAAAAAGCAATGACCAGTGACTCCCCTCACATACATTTTAGTGCAATTCAATAATATATGATTTGTGTTTTTGTTTCCTCTTTCATGTTATATATCCATCATAGGTCAGCTGTCAGCTGTACATTTTCCATATTAGTACCAAACCCTTAGGAACAATCTTAGCCACATTATTACTGAAATAATAAAAATTATAGAAAGAATATATGATTGACAAAGATCTTATTCAGGATTGGCAAATACTGTCTCTGTTCATACTTCGCCAACCTAGCAAGTCACTTGGACAAACTTGTTATCATTGGAGTGGCTAAGTGTTATCTTCAAAAGGAGGGCCTCCCCAAGTTACATAGTCATTGCCAGCATGGACAGGAAAGGAAAAGAAAATTTTTGGCAGGGAGGGCAGAAACATTTGACAACAATAACACAATATTTCATTATCATGAAACTGTCGAGATAAGCTAGAAGTAATGCTTAAGTAGTGCACATCAGATAGTGTTCTACATGTGATACAGGCTTGGACTTTGGAAGAAAAGCTTGTGGATGAGATGACTATAAATTCTGGATACAGTTTCAAGCCCAGCTCTGAAATATTTAAAGGGAGTACATTGGATATGGGTGGTATTTATGTACCCAGAAGCAAAGTTGATATTGTAAGTTTAAAAATCCTATTTTTGAAGCTCCACAAAGCCAATATATATTTTTCTTTACTGTTTTTACTTGTCTTTGGTGTCTTTAGGACATCTATGAAGCAAAACAGCTTTGTGCACTACATTGACAGAAAATGAAAGGATGAGTGGAGAATGCTAGTCTTTCTGTTTGTTAATGGCAAAGACAATGAGTGAAAGAGATCAAGAGAAGATATTTTGGAGTGACAGACTCAGTGCCTCTTGTTCCTGGTACTTTATTTCTGGAAATCCTGTTTCCGGTGTTAACAGAAAATGTAAGCTTTACTTTATTAATAGAAGCAATATTCTCAGGCAAACAAATTAACCCCATAGGCATGGGGATGTATACAGTTTTAAGAAGAACATTTTGTGAGTCATTTGCACTTTTAGAATGAGGTTTATAGGGAGTTATTTTAAATATTACCTATATTTTCTGGCTTTGTAATAACAATTAGAAAGTATGGGATTCTCTTTAAACATCTTTAACATCTATGTAACTAAAACAATGATAAGATACAGAATAGAATAATGTAATGGGCCAAAGTAAAAGCAAATTAAAATAGTAAAGTCCATTTTGGTTACCTTTCTGTTGTTGTTGTTGTTACATGATTATAAGTTAATTGGGATTTTCATCACTTTGAAGTTCAAGATTCCTAGAAAATCTGACAATCATTTTTATCAGTGCCCAACATTCTCAAGCACTAGTGCTCAGAGAGCTTGCACACCACAGGTCTGTTCTACTCTTGATATCTTTCTGGTTTTAATCCTCTTTTGATACAGTAGCTGAACAGAATGGAGCTCAAAAAAATGAAACCTGAGAAGGTCTGCATATAACTCACACTGAGGAGCATAATTGAGCTTAGATTTTCACACTGTTCTAATTATATGTGTTCAGTATTCTTGCTGCTTGGCAAACATGGATATCTGAGTTCAGGCGAGGTTGCCAGAAAGATAGATACTTCTCAGACATTCATCTCATAATAAACGATTCAGTATGTCTTTGTAGTTGGCATTAGGAAGGACAATGATATGACCTTTAAAATAAATATATCTATTATATACTTACATTTGATATCAGTGTGTTTCGATACAATTATGTGTTACTGACAGAAAATGCAAGTTTTGCCAAATCAAATCAAAGGCCTTAATAAAATTTTAAACACTGAACAGGAAAAATGTTAAAATATTATAATTTCATATTTGTACTTTTTTTACTCATCTGAGTGTTTCATTATGATTTTACTGATATATATATATCAAAAATGAAAAGTGTTATAATATGATTAAAATTTGATATTGAAGAAAAAATGTTTGCATCATGTTTATTAGCATAAAATGCTAACTGATGTTGCACAGGAAAATACTGTAAAGTTCATTTGGAAAAAAACTATGATAAGAAAATATTAAGTCAGTAGTTACAATTTCAAGAAAAAAAAAGATGATCCATGCAGTATTTCTAAACTTCCTTGGAATTCTTTTATTCTAAGCACTTTTTTTTTTTAACCAAACAGACTTTGGTAAGCACCACTCTGAGAGAACCTCACAGAAACCTGCATTCTGCATCCACACAGATATGTGGCACTCCACAGCTACCCTGACTACACTCAAGACATACAAGGGAAGATAGTACCTTCCTCAGGCTACAGAATTTGGGGTTGGCTCAGGAACATTGGAAAGCACTGCACTTCAGCCAGGACAGGTACAACTAGACGTTCTTCTCTATTTCAAAACAGACAAAATACTTTCATTCTTTCTCTTTGTAACCAGCCTTCTTACTTCTCCAAAAGCAAACATAAGCCTTCATAGCCCAGCCTAACATTGATATTTAACTCTTTAGTGGGTCCAGGATAGAAATTATGTAACTAGGATCACAATGGATATTAGTTTCTAATTTTCTCAATATTTCTGCTGCAGCCACCTTTGATACATTTTACTTATTTCTTAAGATTTATCATATGTAAAGTGGATTAGAAATGTTTCATTAAAATTAAGATTATTTTTAATTTTCTCTGAGTTCACACAATTGTTTTATTAGTACGTGTTTGCAGTACATAACGTTTACATTCCTTGTGTGGAGGTAGTACATATACATAGCACATTTTAATTCTGTTTCATCCACCTTCCATTCTCTCCCTCATCTGATCTTCTCTAGATCCTCTTCCCATTTGAGAAAGATCTATCTTCCTACTTCCTATTCACTTTTATTTTGCTCTTTTTTATAATTTAGAGAAAACATGTGATATTTATTTTAAACTTGTGTGTCTGATTTATTTCATTTAACATTATGTTCCCAAGGTGCATCATTTTCCTACAAATGACTCAAGTTTATGGCAAAGTAGTACTACGTATTTTGAATTGTAGTGCTATAAACATGGGTATGCATATATCACTGTACTATAATGTTTTTAACTCTTTGGGGAAGATACCTATAAGGATTGTAGCTGGATCAGATGGGATTTCTAGTTGTAGTCTTTTGAGGAATCTCCATACTGATTTCCATATTGGTTATACTAGTTCACATTTCCACCAACAATGTAGAAGGGTTTCATTATCCCCACAGTCTTTCCAGTATTTGTTATTATTTGATTTCTTGATGATGGCCATTCTTTCTGTGTAAGGATAGAGTCTCAGGGTTATTTAAATTTGCATTTCCCTAACTACCAGTGATGTTGAGTATTTCTCCATGAATTTATTGGAAATTGGGGTTCCTTCTTCTATGAAATGTTATGCCCATCACTTATCAGCTACAGGGTAGTAAATACATTACTTACTCTTTTTAAGCTCAATTTTCTTGTCTGTGAAATGGGCATGATTATTCCTAATAGGAAAAAAATAGATAATCAAAATAGTCCCTGTAGTGTTTTTCATAAATCCTGAGAAAGAGAACAGCTTTATATATGAAGTCATGTACTTTGAATTTTAGCCTCAAGTATGGCTTGGTTCAGGTCTCAAACAAATTTGGAGATTTCTATCTCTCAATTTTTGTTACGTCTATGTGATCTACATCCTGTGTTTATGTGTTCTACTCTAATTCTATTGTACTTCATCTATCCTTAGCTTCAGGATTTTATACTCACAACATTAATATAGCTAAGTGTAATATCTTAACAGACACACATCCTGGGACTTTGTTTCTGGGGACTGAAGGAGTTCATACTGTAACTAACGAGAAATTACTAATTACTTTAGCCTAGGTCTCAGGACATTTCTGGGATTAAAACTGTACTCAGACACATAGGCAAGAGAGCTAGAGAATAGGTGCTCTTAAAGAAAAGGCAAACACTCATAGGACAGGCAAAACGCTGTCCGGTATTACATCTCCTTCAGGATTGTCAGGATTACTGGGTAGGGAATCTCTACAAAGCTGACGGAGAGTTGGCCAATAATTGACAAATTCTACAGATTTCATCCAAAAGACAATTTCTTTTGGAAAGATATAGATAATTCAAAGAATTGTTTTTCTTTGGGGTATTTAGGAGTTTTGAGAATAATTAGGTATTTTCTGCATAACTTTTGTTTTCTTTAATATTTTAATTACCTTAAATTTCTAAATTAAATAATAATAATAATACAATCTAAAAAGGGAATAGTATTATATAGTATTTAAAAAGCTGTATTTTAATATTTATTTGCTGTATTAATAACCTGCAAACGCTAATGATTAGCATTAAGTTAGTCTCCATGATATATGGATGATATAACACTGAAGTTTGATTTTCTAAAATGTTACTAAATTTTTTGCTATTATTTAAGTATGTATAAAACAGAACAATAGAAAATTAGAAATTCAGCAGATATTGCATTTATGCAGTATATATTATATATATGTGTGTGTTTTAGGCTGGTGAATAGAGCGTATTTTTATTAATATCTGTTTTATTTTTTCATTAAATTTATTGGTACATTTTAGGTATACAATACAGTTACATTCATCTTTGGGAATTTGTACCTTTACGTGATGTAACTTGGCTCTTATTTTTTTTCCCCATTCCCATGCCATCCCCTCAACCCCTCCACACCTCCCTATTTACAAAGACTTTGTTTCCATTTTTTCCTTTTCTCATTTTTCCTTTCCCTTCTTTCCTTTCCCCTTCCCCTCCCACTTACCCTACCCCTTTAAATCTTTTCTTCCTATTTCACATTGTTAATTATACATTTTGATCCTTATTTACACTTTTAGTTTCTCACACCAGAGAAACTATTTGGTATTTACACATGTGTGTCCTATTTATTTCACTTTATAGTATGGCTCCAATGTGCATCCATTTAGCTATAAATGTCTCTAGTTTCTCTTTCTTTATGGCTAAATAGAAACCAATAATAAATGCTGGTGTGGTTGTGGGGGGAAAGGAACCCTTCTCCACTGTTGATGAGAGTGCAGACTGATGCAACCACTGTGGAAATCAATATGGAAATACCTTAAAAAACTAGGGTTAGAGGTCCCATTTGACCCAGCTAGTCCTCCACTGGGTATCTTCCCAAAAGAGTTAAAAGAATCATGTCACAGTGATATATGTGCACCCATGTTTGTAGCAGCACAATTTGTAATAGCTAAAGCTTGGAAACAGCCCAATTGCCCATCAACTGGAAACTGGATAAAGAAGATGTGTTGTTTTTACAAAATGAAATAGAGCATATTTTAAAGAGACAACAGTGTGATGATTTAATAATCAGTGTAAAAATTCAATAATTTTTGAGTTACAATTGTTTTTCTATTACTATAATTAATATTTTATGCATAGTGATCTTTCATCTATTCAAAATATGTATATATATATTCTATTAAAACAGTTAATCAGCACAAACTGAGCTTATGATCTCATAAAAATTGAAGAATGAATTCATAAATCAAGAAGAGGAAGCCAGGAGACATTTTATTGGAAATAAGGAGAAGGAAAAAAAAGGTTCCTTTTTGCTCCAGGATAGGAATTCAAAAAGTGCAGTTTTCCATGTGGCCTCTTCATAGATAAGCAGAACGTGGCAATTGCTCCACTGTTTAGCACCCACTTAGTGTAAGGGGCTCTGTGAATTCAAAATGACTAGTTGGAACTTGGGCTTGAGAACACAGTTAATTAGCATGTAGATTTTAAAGAAAAACTGGGTTTTGGGTTTTTGTTTTGTTTTGTTTTGTTTTTTGCATTTTAAGTTCCTGGAACTTGGGAGGGGCTGAAACTCACTTTAGTAGGGAGAGGGCTACATTCCATGTTGCCTGAGAAAGTTCATTCTTGGTCAGAAGTCCTAGTGCACTACCTGTTCTTATTTTAAATTGTATCAATATCAATTTGGCTGATCACTCAAATTTATCTCAGGGCCTTTTCCCTACATGGCCGCTCTACCCATAAACTAAATAAGCTAATTTTTACACTATGTAATTTATGAAACACTTAGTATGCTGGCTTGTATTAAAATTTTAAATAAATTGGGGAAAGTGTTTTGTCAAAGACGTTCTTGAACATAGAGATCGATGACAACATAAAACAAAAGGCATATGTGAAGTCCATGCCTTAATTTACACATTCACATGTATAATCAGATAAAAGAAAGTGGTGTATAAAAACAATATGTATGCCTGCAGTTAGGATCTGCCTTATATGAGCATAGTATGATGACGCATTTGCCCTGTGTAGACATGGTCTGATCAGATGAAGGCCTATGATTTGCTGAAACTTGATTACTGAGTTTGACTCGGTTGTTACATTACAAGGTCACACTCTTAGGTTATAATTTGTTTACACATTAAGGTGGGATTCAGTTTGGAAGCTGTTAGAGCCAAAATTTTCAGTCTGACAGTGCCTTCACATAGCTAACTCTAAACAGGAGAATTACTTGTTCCAGTTTACCATAAGAGAAGGTTCTGACCCCGAAATGATTGTGAGTTATAAAGAATGTATAGAAATTCTTTAGTGTAAGACAATTACTAAAATTGTTTAAGGACTAGGGACAAAACCAAAGAAATGTCAACTATTAACTCACATTATTAAGAGAGTTTCACATGTTTAACAACTAGGTCATGGAGTACAAGGGAATGAATAAAAAGAATGGAACAAAATTACCAAAACAAACAAATAAACCAAACCCAAACAAAATCTTCCGAGCAACTCAAAACATTTTATTTTGAAGTTATAGTAAACCAAAGAGATTTTAAAACTGAAGAGCATTTGTACATAGGAAAGACCATGCTGACAATATTTTACTGACTGATATTAAGAAGGTACAAATAAAAATGTGATTATTTGATATAAAGTTTTACCAGTCATTCGTGTAATAAACAATTGAGATTGAAGCAAAGACAGTAACTAGAGAATAAGAATTAACCCAAAAAGAAAAATGCTCCTCAATGAGGAATTAATTCTAGGAGGCTAGAAATAGGAAGAAGTTAATAGTGGTTTCCAGCTTTCTAATATGATAGAGATAATTGCTATCCCTTGTATGGTGATTAAAGAAACACCAAAGGTCTTGTACATAGTATTAGAGTCAGAACTTAGATGATATTTATTATTTATAGGACAGCACCAGATTTAATAGTGACCAATTAGACTTGAAAGTTTTTTGTCATCTGATCTTAATATCATTTCTTTTTAAATATTTATGGTATTTTCTTAACGTTTTGAGTATAGTAATCAAAAGAATGAGTTTAATAAATTACATTTCATAAAATAGTATTAAACAAGTTAATATATTTAATCAAATCAAATATATTTAAGTGACCTTGTTCAGTCTGTCTTCCTGTTCACTAATCTACATAATTTTTTAGTTCTTTGCTGTGAAGTTGCATTTCCCGAGTATATACAGATATATTTCCTTTTTCTCTGTGGCAATCACTACATTAAGGCATGAAAGATGACATTAGGAAAAAGGACAGCTAATAGTTTAAATTTAATTCTCTTTTCAAGTCGTTGTTTGGTAGTCATTCTCCCTGACTATTCTTAAACTTCAAGAAAATACTCTGCTGGGAAGGGAACACTTGACAAAACTCAAAGATGAGTAGCTTCGTGCATGTCTCTACCATTAAGCCCACAATCAGGGCTTCCAAAGATGTCAGCTAAAGTTAGGCCAAAGTATGTAAAATAGTCTTTCATTTTTAATACTTTAATAGTTTAGAGTAGATTTGGGATTATATCAAAAATGAGAGGAAAGTTTAGCAATTTCCCATATCCCCTCACCACTCTAATGGGGGATATGAGCCTTCATACTCCAGCCTAACATTGACTTAAATCTTCAGTGGTTCCACCATAAAAATTATTGTCAAGATCTCCAATCAGAGTGGTAAATTAGGTATATTTGGTACAATTGCAGCATTTGTTACAATTAATAACCCCCCACTGACACATTATAATCACCTGCAATCCAGAGTTTACTCTTGATCTTGTGCATTCTTTGCCTGGACAAATGTAGAAGACATGTATCAACCATGCTGGTATTGTACAAAGCACTGTAGCTTCCCTCAAAATCCTGTGTTTTGCCAGTTCATCCCTCCCTCTTTCCCACCCCTGGCAATTATTGTAAGTTTACTGTTTAATTTTTCCTTTTCCAAAATGTCAGAGTTGAAGTCATATATCACATAGCCTTTTAAGAGTGGTTTCTTCCACTTAGCAATATGCATTTAAGGTTCTTCCATGTCCTTTTATGGCTTTTGTAGCTAATTTATTTTTAACACTAATAATACTATAGTTGATTTATGCACTTAGTTACTGGAGGACATCTTGATTGCCTCTGAGTTTCCACATTTTCTTTTCTTTGCAGGGAAATCACTATTTTAAGTTGTTTGAAGATGTAAGTTCTCTTGTATGACAGCCAAGAAAGATTGTAAATTAAATAATGCATTGTGGAGAAGGTTATTTGGCAAGAAAACATGAAGTACAAATTTACTCTGCTCATCCTTCCCATTGACTGCTGGATGGGATTCCTATTTGAAAAATAAATACTTGGACACAAGAACAAGGAGCTCCTGATTAGTTAACCTGAGAGGCAGTTATTAAATGTAGTAAAATTATACACTGAGTCTTGCTACCTGTGTATGTCACTGGGGCCAAAGCTGTGTGAGACTTACCATGTGCTGAAGAATAAATTTCCATTAGTGATCACTTAAGGAAGAAAGAATGAGAATATAGGGTCTGGGGTACCACAGCAATACCTGGTCATCAAAACACATTTATTCAGAGAGTTGTTTTAGAAAGAAACAAAATGTGTATAGTTGTATGAGAAAAAAATAAAACGAATCAATATTGATCAACTACCTCTTGTTTGTATTGCGGATGTTTATAGCAAGCACACTCAATTTGACTAAGGACCATAGCAGGTGGGTAATTGTTTGAGTGATAGAAATTTTATCAGGATGAGAATTCTAGAAATAGCCCAAAAGATTTAAAAATCTGTTAGATATTACCTTTGTTTGAAGAAAACATAGTGTTCAAAACATGATTTTATTTACTCAACAGACATTCTATTTCACTTTTTATAGTTTTTTATAGTTTAAAATATACTAAATTCTAAGATGACTCACAAGAATTTCCTGTATTTTCTATTCATAAAAGTATGTGAATCCTGTGCACCATAGTTGGAGTAGTAAGTTTAACATGATTAAATCGGTATGAGTTCTAGATAATATTAATTTTCAGCTGTGAATATGGTTAGATTTCCTACAGCTTCACACCCGGAAAATCTTGCCTCTTGTCTTCAGTAATTAATCTGCTCTATAAGTAGATGTTCTCAAAATTCATGAAATTCAAATGTTTTCTGATATTATGCTATCACTTTGAATAGTCTTCAGAGTTTAATATTTTTAACCCAATTTCTAGTTCTTTTGTAAACATTGCTATATTTCCAGAAAATCTGGGTTTGTAGTATTTGGCAGCCAGTAAAATTCAATTAATTACAAAGTAACCCTGAAACAAGCTTTGTTTTTATCTTGCCATATTTTAGTATAGTAAATAGAAGCTCTATTTATTTATTTGGCAGTGCTATAGGTTGAAACCAGGGAGGGGCTCACATAGACAGTTGGGCACTCTATCACTGAGCTAGATTCCATACCTTACATATTTATTTCTGTGTAGAAATACTCTTAATTCCTTCTGCCGTTTCTATTACAGAGTTTTACTGCTTCAAAATTAATTTCAATTAGCCCAATGGAATCAGGCAAAGCATGTTAATTATTTAATGGCAAAATAATAAAGTTTTAAAATAAAATATATTTGGATAAAACAATTATTTTTCACACTTAGCACAGTCTTATTCTTCTATAAAAACCTTGAAGATTAAAGATAAAATTAAACACGCAATTTATTCCTCTGTTTAAATGCTTCATGATAATATTTTATTGAATTTTATTTATGAAATACCAGCTTTCATTTTCTAGATTTCTGATTGCTGTAGCTGTCCTGCCTTTTATAACATTTCTAGCTACTCATAATCCCAAATACATACAATCACAAAAATAACTTGTTAATCAAGAAAATAATACTTCTGAATAAACAATGAAGATTTCTTTAAAACTTTCATCTATAATTTCTTCAATCTTTTTACTACCTTTAAAGGCATTCAGACTGCCATATTTTGTTTATGTTTTAAGGCTTCCTGATTTGTTATTCACTTCTGAATTGAAGCTAATTGATATTGATCTTTATGCCTTGTAGATTATCATTGTCTAGGGAGGAAGTTATTCTGAGGGTGGTATATCTGGAATAAACAGCATTCTTGGCAACACAAAAATCAATATCTAAACCTGTGGATGAAGCTTTATGCTGTCTTGTTATTCTTAAAATGGTTGAAGTGAGAAGAGTATAAATTGGGTCCTTACACTAGGTGGGTGAAGCTTTTTTGTGTGTGTGTGTGCCGGGGATTGAACTCAGGACCTTGCGCTTGCAAGGAAGGCAGCAGAACCACTGAGCTAAATCTCCAGCCCAGTGAAGCTTTTTTAAAACTCAGAGTACTTTGGACATGAGACACAATAAAAAACAGTGCAAAATAAATAAATAAATAAAAAAGAGAAAGGTAGCCGTTTCAGCAGGTAAGTACCTGACATGGAGAAGACATAATCAAAAGTGCCCCAAGACTGAGGAGATCTTCAAAATCATTTTCAGTGTACATTGTGGCAAAGTGAGCTTACACTTTAGAAATATGAATGAGAACTTGAGTCTTATTTTAAAAATTTATTGTACATCTTGTTTCAAAATATGTCTCTTTTTTTCTAGCTGAAAATTATTCCTTCTAGACTTTTAATGAAATTATTGCTTCTCCTGTTTCTTTTTCCACATACAATGATGAAAATCTTCAGTCCTTCAAACAAATCCCAATTAAATAGTAATAATTCAGGCATATTTGGACATGTGAATACATGCAGAAACAACTAAAAAGGTTAGATATACAATTCGAAGATGTGCTTCTCAATTCTCTATGAAAATATCATACTGTAACCCACAGTGATTGCTGCCAGGATATCATAGATAACCTGCAATTTACACAATTATAACTCTAGGTTGCCCAGAAGTTTCAAAAATCTGTTTCCCAATTTCCTCAGATAAATCTCATCCAGAAGTGTTTCTTACTATTTATATGTGGAACCTCTTTAGTTTGTGTGTTTTGGCTGTATTTTCTCTGTCTGGGAAAATGAATGCCTCTGAGAAACCATCCAAGAAGTTAGCTCATGATGCATAGCATTTGAGTTTAGAAGTCATGATGAAGACCATCCATTCCTACAACCAGTTTAGAGGGGATCATTTAGGCCCAGGAGATATCATTCTGGACTGTTGAATGAATGTTAGAAGTGCCATTTTAATATTAGGAATTGACTTGAAGTGTAGATATAGTCTAGAAATATTGTTATATTTCTCAGCCTAGATTTAAAACAGAACATGAAAAGAATAAAATATTGAACTGATATTGCATCTTGACTTTCATGAATGAATTCAATGTTTTTCCCAAATATTTTATATGCACTTATATATAATATTCTAGATCTCTCTTTTTATAAGAGTAGGAAAAATTTATTGAGAGAAAGATAGCTTCTGTCCAAGAGAGACAGAAGGGAGACTGGAAAATGGCTTTTACACACACCCCACTTATCACAGGTGTTTTATACAGCAAAGCCATGAGGTGAGGCAGGTACAAAGTGGGGAAAAACTATATGACCGAGTAGAAAATTACAAGGTGGGCATGAGGTGGGGCAAAACCATGACCAACCAATAAGATTACAAATAACTTCACCCAGATAATATTGATTAAAGAGGGATAAAATGGGAAAACAAGTCATATACAAGGAATTTGCCATTTAAAATATCAATCACTGCTATCTAAGGGAAGTAGTGCCTTTATAATGCTAACCAGTGAATATGCCTCAATTGTTCTCCATGTTGGCTCCTCACTGTGTTCGCTTCCTAAGGGCTTGAGCCTTGAAGGCAGCCCTGTCTAACTGCCTATAAGATGTATAATTAACTTACCTATCTACCTATCTACAACATTCCCACCTCTGAAGAAGTTCCTCTAACTGCCTTAAGGTGGCAAGGAGTGAAGAACATTCTTGCTACTTCCTATTGAAGAGGGTTGTAATTGTGATAGGCAGGCAGAGATACTCTACAGAGGGTCTATCTAAAGGCCTGCAATAGGCACCTGGCATTGTCATGTTGGGGAGACATATAGCTTTAAATCTGGAGGAGCCAAAGTCAAAGAAACAGTTAACAATACTTGGGACAAATAATAAGGTCAGCAGGATTGTTATGAATATAGCTAACAAGTGTTTCCACCAGGAGAAACTAGTAATAGTATTCCACAAAGAAGAGAAGGAAAAGGTCCAGGGGATGTTAGAATCCAACACAGAAGTCATATTGTAGTTTAGCAGTTATGAACCCTTTACAAGGTTGATCTGGTTGATCCCAGTAAAAGAAGTCTAGCACATTTGTCTTTGGTTGTATTTGCATGACCACTTGGAGTTTGACAGCATCTAGCCAACAATAAACAAAAAATTAAAGATATTAGATCACGTATAATCTAAGCATGAGCAGTAGAATGGAAAAGCAAGGGAAAGAATCACACTTAGAAACTGAAATAGCAATTGCAACCTGTTAGTTCTTAGACTTTTATTGGTGGAGGTTATCTATAAGTCTGATATTTTGTCATAAGTCTCTCTAGTCTTAGCTATAAGAAGATAGAGATAATTTGAAGGACAAATTTAGCTAAGAAATTCAAAACTCTAGTTGAGCACTTATAGAGTTTACCATAGATTCTTCTAATGATCTATAACTGTCTTTAGCTACTGGTGTAGCTGGCTACTGCCAGAAGGGATCAGTGATTGGAGCTTCTTTTCAAATTTAACTATATGACATTGTTTTCATACCTTTTTTGTTTTTTGGGGTTTTTTGCTGGGTGTTCTTTGACCAAGTTAAAGGGTCAGTCAATATGAAGCTCTTGCTATCTCTATCAAGGTCAGTTAATTCTCCTCAGGCACTATTTTGGAACCATACATAGAGCCTCTCAGCTTCTCTTTCAGTGTTAGCTGTCAGGATGGGTCACAGCCTTGCTTGACCACTTTGCTTTTAGTGAAAGCATGGGAGACCTTTCCCTCTTGGTGACCCTTCTTTGGCACATGGTACATTTGTTGGTATGATGTCCAGCAATATCCCTGTTCAGGAGGTTGGGTGACTTAGCAAAGATGTAGGATATTACAGAAAAGGTTCCTTCATGTCCTGGATCTTTGTTGACCTTGAGGGTCCAGGGCCAAAATATTGGCTGTCTTCTTAGCCCATTTACCTTTTTAGTTTTGGTCTCCAAACTTTAGTTGTTGAACACCCAGAAAAGAAGATCAGCGACATTAGTATTTCAGTAGGAGTAGTGAGCTTAGCTATTACAATTTTGTCTGGACATTAAGCACTTTTGAAATACAAAGCAGTTAGAGCACTGTTATTTCTTGCCAACCATGGTGGTTTTGGTAGTTGAATCCCT